GTGCAAGGAGCAGGAGCCCCGGCAGAAGCTGGCGAGGTGTCCCTGAGCTGCGAGTCCAGGGAGGTCCGTGCGGCCAGCTGGCAGGACAGGATCCCAGAGAGGAGAGAGCTGCCCAGAGAAAGCACTCCTGCCTCCTGCAGAGACTTGTCCTCACATCTTCAGCATGTGTGTGTGAGCAACTGCTGGAGGCTGGGCAAAGAACCACCGGAACAGACTGAAGGGAACAATCCCGAGAGCTCACACAGGGCAGGGAAGAGTGCTGTTCTCGTCAGGCAGACTGAAAAGCATCATCATTTACAGGATACTGGGTAGAGTACTCTGAAGAGTTTTGCCTCGGGAGAGGGAAAAAATTAGCCCTAGAACAATATGCTCTGGTCCTACCTGACAAAGCTTAAAAGCAAGACTTGAAAGGATCAAACTGTTTCCAGATAACTTATCCCAGAAAAAAAGCTCCAGAATATTATAGGAATATAAAAATATCCTACGCCCTACATGGTAAAATGCACAACATCAGGCATCCAATCAAAAATTACCAGGCATGCAAAGAACTACTGGTCTAACAAATAATTTTCTTGGGGTTTTATTAAATCTTACATTATCCTTTTAAAAACTGCCATTTTTTATCATTTTCATCCTGTGTATTAATCTCAAAATTCCTCATCCATATAACTGAACTGCTATTCCCCATATGAAATATTAACACTTCTAAGACAAACGGCATAGTAGTTAAAAATCACAAGCTCTGGAAACAGGAAAACCAGGGTCTGAATTCTTTTTTCTCACTTATTATCTCTGTGTTCCTGGGCAAGCCACTGAACCTCTCTAAATTTTAGTTCACTTATCTATAAAATGGGTATAATAATGTTTGCTTCATAGGAGTGCTGTAAGAAATAAACAAAAAAAAACACTTAACAAATAGTGGCTATCATGTCATAATTATCACTAATTATCTTAAGAAAAGTTCAGAGAAGTTACCACACGTCTGGTCAAATATTTACTGAGCATCTATCATACGCTAGGTAATATGCAAGCACTAGGAGTACAAAGAAAAAAAGGACAGTTAAGAGGACCCAAAATATATCTTATATTGAATTCACATTTAAAAGTTCATTCCAAGTACAAACTTCATATTCTATTTCTTAATTTCTAAGTAGGGCAATTATTTTAAGTTCCTCCTCTAAAAATTAAAGGATGACTTTTTTTCCCCTTTGAAAGGAAAAAATAAGAAGTTGTCAGGTTCAACAAATTAGGGCATATCTGAGAAATCCTTGGAATCTGAAAAATGTGGTAAAACTTTAATTTAAAAGCAACCTGCAATTAACATCACCTTTCAAAATTATTCTCAAATTAGAAGACTAAATTACATCCAGACATAAAATACATAAAACGGACCAATCTGTTATTATGATAATCTTTTCAGAAAGGCTGGGCTAACAGATGTAAGGAATTAAAATCAAGTTCAAGTTTGTATTTCATTTGCTCATTCCACTTAAATGACAGATGGTTTAAATATTAACCCTATTAATAAAATGTTTGTATATTCATTGTGAATCTGACTGTCTTACCTCATAACTCCATAAATTCATTTTATTAATTTTACTATGGCAGCTCATTTCATTCAAGGTCGTCTGAACCTTTGCCTCCCAAAATGTGGTCCTAGAATCAATAGCATCAGAATCACCCAGAAGCTTGTTAGAACTACAGAATTTCACTCCCCACACCAGACCTTCTGAATCAGAATTTGCATAAAAAAAACAATCCTCAAGTGATTTCTACGTATACTGAAGTCTGAATAGCACAGTTCTAAACTGTTGATTTTTTTAACATTGTTTTACAGTGTTACAAAAAGTTTATTTGCTTCCAAACTATGGTTAATTTATCTCCAGATAGTGACTTTTGGTAAGAATAACTCAATTCAGACAAACCAAATCAATATAAATTTATATATTAGATATTCTATATATAATGCTTCTCAGACTTGACCTTACCTCTCAACTATGACTTCAAGTCTTACAAGTCTTGTTGTACTTATTCATTTTCTCTCTTGAGATGACATTTTTTTTGCTTTAGCATGTGGCTATTGTGATGAAAGTCTTCTCTGTAATTAAACAACTATATAGAACAGTACTAGGAGATCAGATTCTCACCATGATTTCAGAAGAAAAAGAAAAAACTCAAAATAGGTTTCACTTGAAAGTTCCCTGGAGAAAAAATGACCAGAATGACTCTATCCTCCACAATAATATGTTTCTATGCTTTCCCTAACATATTTTTTTTACCACAGATACCACATAAAATAAGAAATTCACATGGGACTTAGTGCAGTTCTTTAGATGGCTCATCTTTTATTATTACTATTGCACAATAGTCACACTGCACATAAAATAGAACAAATTTTGTTTTTTCTTTGGCTTTTCCCCCCAAAAAATGACAGACCTAGGTTGAAACTGATCACAGCAGGTAGGATGGTTCGGTACAGATTCAAAAGAAGGTACAAATGTTCAGTCTTCAAAAGCACTGCAAAAGCCAACCTCATCTCTTGTCACTGTAGCCAGGGATTCATGCCAAACATTTGAAAAGTGACATTCCTTATAAGCTATTGTGAAGAACTTTGCAAAGAGAAGGGAAAAAATTTTTAATAACAATCAACTCCTTAGAATGGTCAAACATCTATGGCCTCTGGGTTGCAGCAAAAGAATCTAAGAGCTACCTGGCTGCATCTGAGTCAATGTACCCAACACCCATGCCTTAGGAGAGAGGGTTCAAAGGGTGTTAAGAGAAGCTATCAAGGAACCCGTTGGGCTGTCTCAAAAATTAAATATGTCCTCAAACATCCCCAGTTTTTTATAAGATCCTGTTATACATCAGTCATCCTTCAATTTAACTCTGTATTCACCCATTTTGCATTTGCAACCTATACAATTTCTCAGGATACAGGGTTCCATGAGTAAACCAGGTATTCAATGCCTCTTTTATGGTCCTAGACATATTGATTTCAAGCTTTAAGTAGTACCTCTAGCTCTAATATTCTAGAATTTGGTGAAGAATTCATTATGCCCCATCCTCACATTCACAGTCAAGTCTCTCAAAAGAACTGTCCATGCACTTTGGCTCCACTTCCTCACCTACCAGTCCCTCTTCAACCCCCATCTGGCTTCCACCCTGTTGACTCCACTGAAACTTCTCTTGGTAAAGACTGAAAGGACCTTCATGTTGCTAAATTCAATGTACATGCCTTAGTCATCATTTTTCTTCACTTTGCGGCATCATTCAACAAAGTTAATTGTTCCCTCCCTCTTGAAATGACTTTCTGTAGCTTTGATGGACCTGCTTTCTCCTGGGTGCCTTCCAACTCTCTGGCCCTTGTCAATCTTCTTTAGGGACTCTGTCCCCTCTACCTGACCTACAACTGTTGGACTATCTAGAATCTCATATAATCTCCTAACTATCAGTATCACCTACATGCTGATGACCCACCTTCATGCTGGTAACACATTTACATATCCAGTCCAGACCTTTCTTCTGAGTCTAAACCGTATATCCAAGTACCTATTCAACATCTCCACTTGGATGCTTCATAAACACATTTAAACACATTTCCACCCCAAACTGAAGTCTTGGCATCTTTCCTTTACTGTTCCTCCTCCAATGTTTCCTATTGTCAACCATCTACTCAGTTGCTCCTGCTAGAAACCCAGCAGTCCTTGACTCTCACCATTCATATCCAATCAATCTCTGAGTCCTGTCATTTTGGCTTCCAAAATATAGCTTTAATACGCCAAGTTTCCCCATCTCTGCTGCCATCCTCTCCCAACTCCCTTCCCTCAGGTCCAAGTCATTATCATCTCTTGCCTACCATACTGCAATAGCATTCTAAGTGATCTTCCTGAATCTACTCATATTCCCCTCCAATTCCATCTCCACGCATCAACAAGTGATCCTTCAAAGACAAAAATGCTGCTGCTTAAAACCCTTTGGTGGAGTCCTATTGGTTTTAGGACAACGTTCACAAGGCACCTGCCTGCCTCTCCAGACAAACTCATCTCATGCTATGGCTCCTTTGTTCTCTAAGCACCAGTCTTACTCTTTTTCTCTGTACATTACACATGCTGAGGTTTTTCCAGGTGCAGAGCCTTTGCACGTGTCACATCCTCTACCTGGAATATCTGTTCCTTCTTTGACGCTTCTCCTACCCACTGCTGCCCGAACCACACCAACATACACATGCACGTCCACATCCACAGTCAAACCAGACCAAAAGGAACCAATGACTAGCAACTCATAGCGTTAAAACATACCACCAGGACAAAAAAATAATAAAACTTTATATGAGGTACTGTTTTAGGTGATTTTTATATATTAATTCATGCAATGTTCACAACCACCCAATGAAATAGGTACTATTATTATCTCTACTTTGAGGTAAATAAGGTACAGAGAGGATAAGTAACTTAACCAAGGTGACAGAAATCCAGTGGCAAAGCTAGGATTCAAATTTAGCCCTTCTTCCACGTGTGTGCGCCTGACTATAGCACGACAACTTGGATATGGACTATCCAACCATCCCTTCCACCTAAGGGACGTGGAACTGGTTTACATAATTATACATGTATAAATTTGGATAAATACTATGTCCCCCACTAGATTAAAAACATAAATGAGGGCAGGGACTGTTTATATATTGTTCACTGATGTATCCCCAGCACCCTCAATAAAACCTCACACATAACTGATGCTCAATAAATATCTGTTGAATATATGAAGTTTACTACTCCCTTGTATAATTATTTTGAGAATGTACTGGGTTCCAACCATGTCATATACACATACATATTTCCTATGATAACTGTTGGCTATCTATTCCCTTCAGTCCCTCGGCGTCCCCTCTTCCTGCCCACGTGGCCTTCGAGGTCCAGGCCTTGTGCGGCAGCTGGCCCCAGTCCTCTCTCCCTCCCTGCAGGGATGAGCACCTCGAGGCCTTTCCCACCCTCAGGCCTCACCTTCCACGTGAGAGAAGAGGCTGTCCCAGGTTCCAGGCCAGGCCCGGGCGACTCTCCAGCGCCTGAGGGAATGAAGCGGCCATAGCGCTGCAGAGGCCACTGCGCCGCACCTCCTCCGGGGAGGCCCAAGCCCGCCTGCTCTTTTCCCGCCTCCGCCATCTTGGGGTTCCCGGCGTGCGCAGCGACGGGGGCCTGCCAATCGGGCGCAGCTAACCAATCAGGAAGCGAAGTGGCCCAAGGCCCCCGCCCCTCGAGCGGAAGCCAAGGGACAGGCCCCGAAGACGCCTGCAGGGGGCTCCCCGGGTTGCGGGCCTCGCTCTGGAGTTTGGGAGCCTTTTCTTCTTGGTGGGCTAAGTGGAGACAGTAACTTCCACTTGGAAGTGGGGCTGTGACACTTATCAATGGTAGTTGGTGTTGCCTCGGTAGCGTTACGGGCCCTCACCTTCCCCTACGCCGCCCGTGTCATCGTCCCGCTGCTCTGACCGAGACAGTTCTGAAAACTGGCTGACTCCCTGTAACTTCCACACTCGGGCTAGGCCGGCTCTCTGAGGCTGCCTGGACAAGTGTGTTTCCCCTCCTCACAGCAGGCTTTCAGATAACGGCATCCCTGCGCCCGCCTCAAACCCTCGGCAACACAGCCCCATTTCAACCCGCCATTCAGAAAATAGGGTTATTTCCTCATCATCCTGTGACCGCCTGGACATACTCCCTCCGGACGGTCAAGTTTTCTCTAAAAGAGAGGAGCAAATGGGTGGGGGGCTGCCGGCAATAAAAGTGTGCCTCAATCCGACTGCAGGTACAACTAAATGACAAGTCTAGGGAATTTTCAGTCAGCAAAGCACTTCGACATCTGTTATTCCATTTGTCCTCCTGACAACTTTGTGGTGAATTAAAGAAGCGAAACAGAGATTATAACCCCCATTGAAAAGATGGCGGCAAAATGAGGTCCCGAGTGTAGAAGTGATTTGTCCAAAGGTAACACAGCCAGAGTAGAACTCTGTACTTCACAGTCTCTCCATGTGTCCACCTTACTTGCAAAGAATTTAGCTATCATCCAATCTGTCAAATCAGAAGTAATGTATATGGATGGAGCCTATGTTAACCAAACACATAAAGTACAGTTATAATGCAAACAATTTTTAAAACCATGCACGTCAAAGAGTATGAAATGCATGGATAATGGTTGAGTAGGAGGTAATTTATTCACTTGACAAAACATAGATTAAATATCTACAGCCTGTAGTTATGCTAGTCATCATAGGGGTTACAGAAATGGGGAAGGCATGCATCTAGACTTCTAGGACCTCGGGATCTAATAAGGAATACAAAGACAGAAAGGCATGATATCTGACAGTTAATGCCGTGTGAAATGTACAAACCATATGCTTTAAGGATTCAGCTGAAGTAAAAAATGTACCAACAGGAATGGCAGCGGCATTTCAGTCCTAACTTGAAGTGTAAGCAAAAGTTTCCCAAGGGAAGATGGAAGAAATTGGTATTCGGTATGGAGGGCAAGTTGAGGAGCAAAGTTGCAGAGATGAGGATAGTGACATAACCAGCCAGAATGCTAAGTTTTTTAAGGAAGTTGAGGACACAAAGGTGAGTTGGGTAGAAGAGCACTAAACAGCAGCTAAGGAGAGTGAATTTTACTTGGTAGGTGGTGAGGAGCGTGGAAAATTTGCATTTGGGAATGACACTATCATAATGGTGGCCAGGCAGGCTAATCTTTCAGGTGCATATAGAGTAACTTGCATTCAAAGCAAGGGATATTTGTTACTTATCTTTCCATTAGTCCAGTAGAGCTTAAAGGGGTCAGATTTCAGAAAATGCTTCTGAAGGTTCTTAAATGATATAGCAGTACTATATTTAATATAATAGTAAATGGTTAGAAACTTGGTTTGAATCCCAGTTCCGCCACTTGCCAGCTGTGTGACCTTGGGGAAGTCACTTAACTTCTCTGTAAAATAGGATTAGTAAATATCTGCCTTACAGGGTCATAGGGAGGATATAATAAGATCATATATGGGAAAATACTTGGTAAATTACAAAGCAGTACACAAGTTGGTACTGTCTATTTGCAGAGTTAAAGTGACTTCCTGTGGGCTCCCTATAGGCGGGAGGATGGGAATGGGAGCCTGACATTCAGTCTCAGAGGCGCTCACCTTCCAGGTCCAGGGCTGCGGATGCTGTCAGACACCCTTCACAGGAGCAGATGGTGCTCACAGTTGGGACCCTGTCAGTGCCCAAGGACACCCAGGGCCCTGCTGGGTTCCCACCTGTAAGCTCTCTTCCTAGACAATGCACCTGTGCTCAAGCTTCTGGGGCCACCAGCGTCTGCCAAGAACAGATCCTATCTGTGAAGGGAGATACGATAAAGCCACAGCTCAATGCACAGAAGCTCTTAAAAACCTACGATATTAACAAATGTGACTTGAGCATTCAAGAGGTCCCAGATGCTGTACTAGGTGCTGAGGATACAGTAGAGAATAAAACAGATGTGACTTCTGCACTCTTGAAGCTTACAGTGGGGGGTGGGGGGGTGGGAGGGTGGTGGAGAGCAGAACATTGAGCAGATTACTCTGTATTTTTCCTATGGCCATTGTGTTTTCTTTTGTAAACATAAATGTGTAATATTTATTAAGGTATAATTTTATACAATAAAAAAACACAGATCTTACATGTTCAATTAGGCAAATTTTAACACCTATATACACTCACATCACCACCATCCAAAACAAGATATAGAACATTTCCCAAAGCCCTCAGTTCTTGTAGGAGTGCCTCCTTCCGGTCACTCCCCAACACCCAAGGGCAACCATTGGTCTGAGTTTTATCACCATAGCTTAACTTTCCTGTTCCTGGACTTAATGTATATAAAACTATACAGAATGTACTCCTTTATATCTGCTTCTTTTGCTCAGTGTAATTTTATCTTTTATCTTTATCTGTGTTGTGTATATCAGCAGTTTATTCCTTTTTAGTGCTAAATAGCATTCTATTGATGATTATATCACAATTTGTTTGTTCTTCACCTGTTGATGGACATTTGGGTTGTTTTCTATTTGTTCTTTTTAAGCTATGATGAGCATTTTTGTACCAGTCTTTTTGGTAAATGTGTGCCGTCACTTATCTTCAATACATAACTACGAGTAGAACTGCTGGGTTCTAGAGAGATACATATTTAACCCTATAAAAAACTACTAAAGGGTTCTCCATAGTGGTTGCACCATTTTGTACTCCTACCAGCAAAATATGAGCTCCAGTCATCCTTGCCGACATTTGCGTTGTCAAGTCCTTTTGGTTTTAGCAACTCTAGTGGATATATAGTGGTATCTCGTTTTGGTTTTAATTTGCATTTTTCTGATAATGAATACTGTTAAGCCTCATTTCAAATGGCTTACTGGCCATTTGTGTATCTTATTTTATGAGGTGTCTGTTCAAATCTTTTGCCAGATATATGATTGAAAATATTTTTCCCATTCTATGACTTACCTTTTCATTTTCTTTTTTTTTTTTTAAAGATTTTATTTTTTTCCTTTTTCTCCCCAAAGCCCCCCAGTACATAGTTGTATATTCTTCGTTGTGGGTCCTTCTAGTTGTGGCATGTGGGACGCTGCCTCAGCGTGGTTTGATGAGCAGTGCCATGTCCGCGCCCAGGATTCGAACCAACGAAGCACTGGGCTGCCTGCAGCGGAGTGCGCGAACTTAACCACTCGGCCACGGGGCCAACCCCACCTTTTCATTTTCTTAACTATGTTTTTCAAGGAGCAGAAGTACTTAATTCCAAATGAGGTCTAATTTATTAATTTTTAGGTGCTTTTTTTTTAGAGCATTTTGTGTTCTGCCTAAGAAATTTTTGCCTACCCTAAGGTTGCACACCTATTCTCCTATGTTTTCTTCCAGAAGCTTTTTGGTTCTAACTTTTACATCTAGGCATATTATCCTTCTTGCATTAAATTATTTTTGTGAAATGAAGTAGGAATCAAAGTTCATTTTTTCCATATGGATATACAATTAATGTTACACAGGAACAGCCCTCAACCAATGAATTATGGAAACTGACATATAAATACCCCAATTTCCTCACTCCTCAGGTGGGATAACTCTAAGGTTTGTGTAACGCCCTATTTCCCAGAGTTCACTTGTGGGATCAGGTTCCAGTTACCCATGATATAACTTGCTTGGTGATGATTGTTTTTTGGCTCCCTGCCCTTCCCTGTCTCCCTCCCCTACCAATATTTCCTGGGATCACCTCTCAAATAAATTACTCACACTTGAATCTTTGTCCCAGGGTCTGCTTCTGGAAGAACCCAAACTAAGACAGGGACAAATAAAGCAGACAGTCCCTTGCCTTCGTGTATTTAGCTATAATGTAGTTACATGCAAGAAGGTGGTACAAAAGGCACTAAGGAGGGGGAGAAGTCACTCTCACATCCAAAGCAGGCCCTCTGATAGCTTACTGACCAGCAGCAGCAGAACAATAGCATTTGTGATCAGGACTAATGAATGGCAGGTGACTATGAGCTAACACAGCCCCCTCGTAGGAGACTATTACCAGTTAGAAAAACAAAACTAGCCCCTAAAGTTACAAAATGGTCATTTATTTCATTGAGCATTTTTTAAATTCCAAATCCTTTTACTATGTAACTCTATTTTATAGGTGGCATAAGTGACAGAGAGAGGCTGGCTGCATGAGTAATCAGCATCATTGTCGGAGGCTGCAGGACTGGTTTTGGAATCCCAGGACGTCCCTTTCAAGGCGGACCAGGGACCGCAGATATCCCCTCTCCCTAGGACACTGAGTCAGCAAAGAAAATGATGGCTTCCGTCTCCTTGGTCTGCTAGATGATAGGGAAATATGCACTTTTATTCTGCCTGCCGTGTCCCTCAGCAACAGCTCTGAGAACCAGGCAGAGTGACTGAGAACTGCATGGCACTGCTGGTGGCTGTGGGGTTTCCCAGAAAAGCCCTGTTCTGCATCGGTCAAGCCAGATGAGATGTCTCCATGATGTCAGACCTGGGGATGCTGTGTAAGAAGGGGATGTTTCCATGGAACTCTACACTCGGTGCTAGAAAGCAATTATTTTCAAGTTTCTTCTCTATATCTTTTACATGCAAAAACTAACTGCTCCATTTCAGGTAATTGAAGGGATTTCAGTGTGACTGGGCA